TGTGTGTGTGTGTGTGTGTGTGTGTGTGGTTTATTCTCAAATTGACACAAAATTAAAACAACATTGCAGCCTACTAATACAATGTAAAAGAACAGGTTGGCTACGCAGTTTCAGGGAACACACACGTGTACAAAATATCATCAATATTTACAAACATACCCAAACTGAATAACATGGATATATAAAAACAGTAGTCGGGTCATTACACAAAACACAGGAGTTTTGACAGGTACGTATACGGAATGGCACTGTTCCTGTACCTCTCAGATCTTATAGAAGGTATGGCTGCTAAATAGTAGCACGACGCTATCTCAAAAGTATGTAACCGTGCCTTTGTTCAGGGCACGGTTCAACCTCACCCAATGCACGGGCGGAATCACACATTGTTGGAAGTCCAAAGGTGTGCCATGCAGTTGTTTTTTACGGTCTCTGCATTTCGCAAACAGGTGATTGTTCAGTGTCGGCCAGAAAATGGTTTAAAAACACATTGCCATCTGCTGACTGCCGTTCACTACAAGGCTTAGAAAAATACCGAATTTATCAAGATTTTAGAGCGTTGAGAAATAAGGATAATTTAGGCGTTGGAAAGGATTTGTAAAACGATCGCTGACATTGGTAACCATATGTTCGGACAGGCCCTTTTAGACCCTATTCATTTTGCCATTTTTCAAAGCTCAGAGTCATACAAATGAAGAAATCGTAACACACGACTGTCATAAATTATCTTATGACCAAATACAACTGTTGTTTCTTATATCAATGTGAAGACCGTGCAAAAACTGGTGTTTTGGGTGCCCCACCTTACGAGAAATCCGCCATTGCCCGGTTCACTGCGAAACATGAGGACATGTGACTCACAAGGAAGTAATTCGCCCTCCATTGTACATGCCTCTAACAGGTACGCGTATATAGTTACATGCGTTCTAGACAGTCGTACGAGTTTAATACCGTAGAATTTTCAAGCAATCTGTGACAGAACTACGCAGAGATCTGAAGCAGACTTTTCCGGGATAAGAAAGCTAAATTTTGTAGGACATAAGCACGACTATTCCAAGAGGGCCTTCTTTGGGGGCGGGTGGGGGCTAGTGATTACGAATTACGCAAATGTTCGCCGCCGATTACGAATTATGTTACATTCTCAGAGCTGATTACGACTTTACGCTTTGCGGCTAATGTTCTATTACGAATTACGTCGATTTTTGGGGAGGCTGCCTACGGTTTACGAAGACTAAAAAGGCTTGATTACGCCTTACGAAAACGGGCAGTTTGCGCTTGTACGATGTGTGTGACCTGGCCTCCTATTTCGCAGTTTGACAATTTGTTCTATACTCTTATGTACAAAACGCTAACTGGCGAAGAAGGAATGCTCATAAAAATGATTGGGGAATAAAACGAATAACCATAAATCGATCGCTCGATAAAAAATTGATGACTTTTTGACATGCACGTTTTATGTTAGTGTTGTCGTCAGAATTGGACAAGCTTGTGACCATATATCAAAACAGACAAAGCAGAAATTTTCTGTACTGAGTCCTTTTTATAATGATGACAATTATATATTCAAATATATTTTCATGCTCATATCGAGAAAAACCATAGCCCCCCAAAAAAGACGTTTTAGATTCGCGGAAATCGGTGTGGCACAAAAAAATTAAGAGACAGTAAAAAAATACTCACTGAGCGATGAGCTGATTCTGTAACAGGTGTCTCGTATGTTTGTTGTAGCGTGGTCCCGGTTCCTTCTCCTTGCTGACATAGGTATAACTTGCCATGATAGTCAACGTGGCAAGAAGACAACACACGGCAAACGCGGCACCGAACACCACATTCCGCGAAACCGCCATCTTGGAGTTCACGGTTGTTGACTAACTTGTCGTATAGTACCGGAAATGTCAGGTGATCGAGGTGTCAGATTACCTGGCCGATAAGGAAAGATAAAGTCATGAATCGTCGCGTTCTCCAACTGAAGATACACTGAACTAAAATATCCACTGAATATCCGGGCGTTTCCGGACCTGTACACGTCTTGTGAAACCTAGTGCGTCCGGGTGTGTGTTTGTGGTTGTTATATACCCAAGGGCATTATACACCTAATCAGTTCAGATGTTCGCGAGATTCAAATTGCAATTTTGGTAGATGCATGGCGGCTGTGGACGGTTGAGTTGTTTTTTTTTTATTTACTTCAGAATTCACCTCAAAACAAGGCTCGTGAGAGCGACTTACATGTTTTGGGTTACAGTGATGACTGCGTGGTCAGATATTTGTTCACCCTTGATTTAAACCAAGTTGTCTCCAGAGTTTTTTATTTTATTTCTTCACATATATTTATTGAGTACTGGGCAAAAAGCACAAGTTGCTTATATAACACCTTCCACTCACAACATACAACGACTGTAAAACACATTGACAAAATACATGCATAATTACAAGGTGAGTAAAACCAAGATAAATACAAACAATACAAGTTGGTGATCTACCAAATTGGTCCCCAGAGGTTGTATCAGGTCGCAGGCGACTGCAAGATCCCTCCACTGCCCCTTGTCGCAAGCAAGGTTGGCGATCTGCTTCTCTGTTAGCTGATGCACGGGTTGTAGCCTAATCAGTTTCAAATTAGTAGATATGCATGGCGGCTGAAGACAGTTGAGTTATCTCCAACGTCTTTTTTTATATTCTAACATGTCACAAGACGTGGTGACGGCACACTCCAGTTTTTCCAACTTATATAAATGCCGTCACCAACACAGGGGACAGTACAATACTAGTACTCATTTTCACCTGAGCGAAGTGAGGAAAGTCGTGTAAAGTGCCTTTCCCAAGGGCACAAGATCGGTGGCATGTCAGGACTCAGGCCCGTGACCTCTTGGTTCCGAGCCGAGCACTCTGCCGCTACGCCACACGACCCCAACAAAGGTTGTAACAGATATACCTAATGATGTTAGAATATTAATTTTGACACCCTCACCTTTCGCGTGTCACTTGTGCCATACATGTGCACAACAAACTCAGAAAGCAGTGTGTACTTTGCTCGATGACTGTCGCCTGGGGACCCTACTATTTACAGATTGAAGGGTTTTGTTTAATTTCAATGGCATTGTGTGTATTGTGGAGCCTTGAAAGAGACACAGACGGTAGACCAAGGTCTAATGGGCGTTAGTCAATTTACTAGTCTATCAATGAAGATTAATTTTAGGCTCCAGAACTAATTGTAACTGAGCTAGCCTGATACCCGGTCGCATGTGTACATACATGTGAACAGAGCGGAGCCCTGAAAGAGACACAGAGGGTAGGCTTAAGTCCACTTTACTACTGATTAAGATTAATTGTCGGTTCGTGCAGTTCATATTATCACTGGGCTAGCCTGTGATACCACGGTCGCATGTGTACATACAGGTGAACAGAGAAGCGCCTGTTGTACCTGGAATGTAAGCTGCCGCGGGCGCTTTTTATTGGTCAGTCAAACGTATAAAACCCGGTCTAAAGAAAACGCCAAAGCTTGTCATCAGCCATTCTGTAACAAACCGACATGACTTTGATTTGAATCTCTGCTCCTCTCCACTTTGTAGTTCAGCTTACGTTAGTTTTATGTTAATCTTTAATAGTGCGTGGCCGAATTCGCCGAACACCAGCCGACTTTAAGCCGACCTACTCCCAACCATGTTTGGGTGACGTTCGGCTAGAGTTCGGGAGGTCAAATCTGGGACGTTACACCTGTGCGCTTGAACGACACAGGCTAGACAAAAGAACTGTGTGAAGCAGCGCTGGCGTGTTTGCGTTTTTAGTTTTGTTTTTTTTTTAGTCGGAGTGCAGTGTTGTTCAGTCTCAATGACCCGGTGTGGATTTCCCACACTGTCACTCAACTGCATGCACGAATGCACAAACGGTGACGCGCAAAGACAGACAGACAGAAACGCGCGCACACAAACACACACACACACAAACACACACACACACACACACACACACACACACACACACACACACACACTAGGATACACACACACACACACACACACACACACACACACACACACACACACACACTAGGATACACACACAACACACACACACACACACACACACACACACACACTAGGATACAGACACACACGGGGAAATGTGACGGACAAAAAAGAGAAGAGGAAAGAAAAGTTGAAGTAGCACCGTTCAAATTTAGGCTTTGCAATGCTGCCATCTAGCGATTTAAGTAAAAATTGCACCAAAGTTGCGTCTCGTTGTTCGGTCTGATAGGTTCAAAGTTTGAACGCCAAAGGTCACCCGTGCAGGTATGGTTCGACTCAGTTGGACTTTGTACCGACACTTCTACCGGCAAGACTTTCTTCATCTCCTTTCGTTCTTCTATTCCAAGCTTACAAAGGGGTATGTATTCTGTCCAGAACTGTCCCTATCTAGTTCTTTGCCTGAATGGGTTAAGGTTAGGATCAGCCACGGTTCTGGATAGTCTCCGTTTATCCAACAACATATATTTGCCGCAGGCACGGTTCTGAATACGCGTTTACTATATCCAGAACCGTGCAAGGCGGGTGTCTTAAATGTATCCTTGCTAATCAAATCACAAAAATGATGAATTTTCGGAAAAAAAGAAGTGTAATTTACATCGTAAACAGTGCAGCATTGAAGGTGAACCCTACCCTGGAGACCTATTTGCATTGGGCACGCCAAAGCGTTCAATTATAGAAAATATATCAAAGAACATCTTTTTTTTTCGTTTCCAAGGATATCATTTTGGCTTTGTGAGTTTGTCCCAGCACTAACCTTTTTTTCCTAGGCAAATTGAGCGATACTTTCTTAATTGTAAAAACACAATTGGTCACGCACTTAATGACAATGCCACCCAGTTTATCTGACGAAAGATAAGATTTAAGATTTGAAGTGTGCAGCAAAAGTAATACGATTCACGTGAGAGAAAGCGTGCGTGGACTTTACCCCATGCGTTTTGGCATAGTCAGGGGGCGTGGCATAACTACTGTCTGGCCATTATAAAATCACAAAATCACTAATTATGTTAAGGAAAACATATTGTTTTGCTCCGTTTCTTCCTCGTCTTCTTCTCCAAACAGTGACCTCTGACCTGGCCAATGACATGATTTGTTGATGTCTGTCACCATGGTGAGGTTACATAATGTTGCAATTTCATGGTCTGCTCTGCTCCTGTCACCATATACTAGTAGTACATGTATGTGAATGTGTTTGAGTAAGAATTAGCAGAGCAGACCATGTCCGAAGGTAATGATGCAACTTATTGCTTTGCAAATGTTAAGATTTAGTGAAATATCTTTTTAAGATTAGTGTAGTGACTGATAAATCAGTCTTACAATTAGGGTAAATAGTGGGGTTTTACATATCGAGAACACTACACGTCATTGCAAAAACTTCTACAAAATGTCAAAACTTGTGTAATCAGGTTTTTTTTTTGCAAGTTCACTAATTTGGTGCGGTTGGAACCACAGCAAAATCACAAATAAAGTATTTTTTCTCAGAAACAACGCTTGAATCAGCATCAGAGGGCATAACAAAAAACATATGGCCTCATAAGATTAGTTTGCTTACCATTTTATTTTACAATCGGCGAAAAAACATGATTCGTTGCGTTCGACTGTTTATCACCGGTCAAAGGTCAAAACCAAGATGGCCGCCGTTGACTTCGGAAGTAACTTTTTCCTCACCCGCAAATTCTATCCTCACTTTAAACACAACTACCATCCCAAATGTCACGTTTTTGTGCTAGAAATATTCGTTTGAAGACGTAATTGCATATATATGCGGTTGTAGCGGGATAATACCCAAGAAATGTATGTATTGCGGGTTTGGACTAGGGGCCTTTCATCTCGTTCGAATTCAAGATGGTTGAATGTTACCGACATGTCATGTCTTCCCGACGACCAGGAATCGCGTTCGCCATGGCCAGGAGCTACTCCAGCCTGCTGAAGGACAGAGCGTATGTAGGAGGGCAGTGGGTGTCTGCAACAAGCGGGGAAACCTTCCAAGGTTTGTCTTGTCTTGTCTTCCTTTATCCATGGAGGTCTCTTTTTCTACCTCCATGCTTTATCTGAAGTTATCATCCCAAGAATTTTATGTCAAGTCAAGTCAATCTTTATTGCACAACAATTGTAACGGGTACAATGCATGGCAAACTCTTCAGTACTACATATCTAGCTAACATCTACTCTCACGTCCACAGTGATACCTACAAGTTCTATGTATTGAAAATTACATTATAGTTATTTCAAAAAGGTAATATAGTACATGTATATATATGGCACATGGCTTACATGATAATGCTATCTGCCACCTCGGTGACCCTTGACCCACAGTTACCAACCCATCCAGTGGAGAGGTCCTGGGTTCTGTTCCTGACATGAACGCAGGCGACGCCACTAATGCTATCAGGACAGCGTACGACGCGTTTCAGACATGGAGGGAGACAACAGCTAAGGTAAAGGATTAACCACGAACATGGCTTTCATTCTTTCCTAGAACTATCACAGAGCGGAACTCGCTGTCACCAAGTACAGTAGGGGCATTGTCATTAGATAGCTTTAAACAAAGTCTAGAGTTAGATGTGCAAGGGTTAGGTGTAACAAGTCGCTGGTGTAATGTAGCAGCTGCCGCCGCGCCACGTGCCTGTGAAGCTGGTGTGTTACACCGAAGGGTGGTTATACCGGCAATACAGATACAGAAGCTGGTGTGTTACACCGAAGGGCGGTTATACCGGCTATCCAGATACAGAAAAAAAATGGCGTGTTATGCCGAAGGGTGGTTATACCAGATATACAGATACAGAACATGGTTTTACTCATGATAAGAATGTTGAATGTACTAAAGGAAAATATACCTGTATGTTTCAGGAGCGCAGCCTTCTGTTGAGGCGCTGGTTTGAGCTGATTGTGGAGAAGAAAGACAGTCTGGCTGAGCTGCTCACAGTGGAAAATGTAAGGATTTCATTGGGTGAAATTAAAGAGACCATGGTGTTTCTCCTCATAAGATACTTGTATTGTTCGTACTAGTAACATTGTTAGCAGCTCTCTTACATAGCACATACTTGTCATATGTTACAATGTATAGAGGTCAAATATACAAAAAAAACTTCTTGTAAGTTGTACTAACTTGCCAGAGTCACAGCTTTACCTAACATACCTGAATAGCATTCATGGCATTCTAGAATTATAAAAATTACTTGAGCATGGCTAAGCCTCAATATTGTTTTCCTATCCAAAAAGTCTAATCCTGCTATTAGGTATTTGATTTAAACCTGCTCAAGTAATTTCTAGTTCTTTCTTACCTTTTCTTACAATTTCTTACCCTTTTTTCAAGTGGTTTAGTCCAAATCTAATGTGTAACATATTCCAGGGCAAACCAGTGACAGAGTCCCTGGGGGAGGTTAACTATGCTGCATTCATAGAATTCAAAATTAAACTGATTGCAAATGATGACAATTTCTCACCTATCTTTAAATAGTTTAGTCCAAATCTAATGTATAACGTATTGCAGGGCAAACCAGTGACAGAGTCCCTGGGGGAGGTTAACTACGCTGCAACGTTTCTTGAGTGGTTTGCAGAGGAAGCTCGACGTACCTACGGGGACACGATCCCGGCGCCGGCCAAGAGTAAGCGAATCGTGGTGGTTCATCAGCCAGTGGGGGTGGCCTCCATGATCACACCGGTGAGTTTCATTGTTACAGTAGTTTTTTTTATTTTTACTTATATTTTATTTATATTATTTAAACTTCTGGGCACCCTTTTTGGTGAAAACCCACTGGACAGAGCCACCGGTTGTGACAGGCTGAATTAAAGTTCTAAACAGGAACTGTGTGGCTTAATGAGGGAAGACTGCGTGTGCGAGATGTCGGTTAGCTTGAGGCATATGAATCCACTCTACTTTCTACATATCTTTCATAGGACAAACCTACTATAGCTAGTAGTTGTTTGTCTCACCTCACTCAAATTGATTCACTAGTACTCACTCACACTGTGATAAGATAGTGTGATAAGTTTTGTTTTTATTCTTGTAACTTTTCTGTCTAGTGGAACTTCCCGTACGCGATGGTTACGAGGAAAGCGGGTGCGGCGCTAGCAGCTGGTTGTACTGTCGTGCTCAAACCCTCGGAGGAAACTCCGCTGACAACGCTCGCTATCGTGTTAGAATATTTTAGTTAACTTAGTTCAGAACAGGAACTATGCAGCTCCAGATGTCTTCAATTTACAGGGACAACTGTGGTGTGAAAGATGTCAGTTGGATGAGGAAGATGCTGGTTAGCTTGAATCCACTCTACTTTATACATGTATCTTTCATGGGGAATATAAAATTATAAGTCTCAGCTCACTAAAATTTTGTTTTTACTTGTAAATTTCCAGTGGAACTTCCCGTACGCGATGGTTACGAGGAAGGCCGGCGCGGCGCTAGCGGCCGGTTGTACCGTCGTGCTCAAACCCTCGGAGGAAACTCCGCTGACAACGCTCGCGATGGTGGACCTGGCGCATCAGGCCGGTATTCCCGCCGGGGTGTTTAACATCGTGACCTGTTCGCGGAAGAATGTGGACGCGGTCGGGAAAACGCTCTGCACAGACCCGCTGGTCGCGAAGATATCGTTCACAGGGTCTACCGCTGTTGGGAAGGTACGTTACTATCATGAAAGTTCATCTGTGTTGGTAGTTAATGTTTAAAGTTAAAACACTGTCGGAAAACGCTCTGCACAGACCCGCTCGTCGCGAAGATATCGTTCACAGGGTCTACTGCTGTTGGGAAGGTACGTTACTATCATGAAGGTTCATCTGTGTTGGTAGTTAATGTTTAAAGTTAAGACTTTAGATCAAAAACCTAGAGCTTTTGACCAGTCGAGAAGGTAAGGAGTATAGTTTTACTTGCATTTAACCCTTTATAAGCTACTGGTGCTCCAAGCCAAAATGGTGCTTGTAGAGAGACAGGTTAAAGTCACATTGAAGAAGTAGAGTTGGCAACAAAAAAGGCCAAGGGGAATAGTCAGAACATTCGGTGTTCCTCCCATGTTCAATCACAGGGTCTACTGCTGTCAGGAAGGTAACTTGTATTACTTGGCTTGGTATTAGCTTATGGTACCATGGTGGTCCAAGCCAAAATGGCTCTTGTGGTCCACCTTTCTTTCTTTCTTTCTTTCTTTCTTTCTTTCTTTCTTTCTTTCTTTCTTTCTTTCTTTCTTTTCCTTCACCTGCTATTGAAATATCGAAAGAAGCGTTTTGCATTTAATTCTTCAGTTGTGTTTTCTTTTGTCTTGTGATTACATGTTGGAATGTATAAAAAGAATTCCCTTCTCCCTTCCCCAGCTACTGTTGAAGTGGGGAGCGGAGACAGTTAAGAAAGCGTCCATGGAGCTGGGAGGCCACGCCCCGTTTGTGGTGTTTGACAGCGCTAATGTAGATGCAGCGGTGCAGGGGGCCATGGTGTCCAAGTTCAGGTACATGGGACAGGTGAGTGTCGTCATTTTATTGTCATCTGCATTGTGCTGGAAATAATTTTTTCTGCATACCTGCACCGGTGTAGGTAACATTGAAAGTTAGCTGCACTAGGCAAATTTTACCTGCACTACGCGATCAAAACAGGCCCCAAAATATACCCCGGGAGGTTTATGCAGACAGTTTAGGTTTCCTTTCTCATAATGTTCAGCACATATAGAAGAATTGTAAGCCAGCTGCAGGGGATAAAGGGAAACCAGCTGGATAGGTCTTTGGGTATACTAGTAGTTCAGCTGTGCTTAGGGTCAGGGGTAGGAAAATAACCCCCAAGCTGACCCTAAGGTTTGGTACCCAGGCTAATAAAGTGCCATAACTGAAGCTTTTTTTTTCCTTTCCAGACCTGTGTCTGTGCCAACCCGTTCCTAGTACAGGAGGGAATCCATGATGCATTTTGTGCCAAACTGGAGGTGGCATGATTGTAGCTTCATTTTTTCCTCTCTAGACCTTTGTTTCTTCTACAAAAGGGAATTCACAATGAGTTTTGTGACAAAATACAGGCAGTACCGGCATTACTGTAGCATTTTTTCTTTCCAGACCAACTGTGCCAACTGGTTCCTTGTACAAGTACAAGAAGAAATCCTGGATGCACACTGTGAAAATATAAAAATGCCAAAACTGAAGCCTCTTTTTCCTTTCCAGACCTGTGTATGTGCCAACAAGTTCCTAGTACAGGAGGGAATCCATGATGCTTTCTGTGCCAAACTGGAGGCGGCCATGTCAGCACAGCTGAAGGTGGGAGATGGGCTGGACAAGGGGAACACTCAGGGTCCTCTTATTAACACCAAAGCTGTGGAGAAGGTTTGTACAAGTAAACACAAATGATGACAATTTTTTTTCAATGCTTCACTTTCATAGAGCTGATGATATTTTGAAACTCTCATCTGTAATTATGTTTAAGGAAAACATTGTTTTTGGTCCTGTTTCTTCTTCTTCTCCAAACACATAAGGTCAATGACAATGACCTGGACCAGATGTCTGTCACCATGGTAACTGGTGCTGTAGCAGACACCCTGTGGTGTTGGGTTACATATTATGTAACAAGACAGAGCTGGAGCGGCTGGTCACCATATCGTAGGATCTGTATTGAATGTTTTTTGTTTGTTTTGTTTCAACCATACTATAAATGCTTTGCTTCAGATTGAGGCCCAAATCTCTGACGCGGTGTCAAAGGGCGCCGCCGTGGTTACGGGAGGGAAGCGCCACGCCCTGGGAGGAACGTTCTTCGAGCCGACCCTGCTGAAGGGAGTCACCACCGACATGCTGTGTACTCAACAGGAGACATTCGGGCCTGTTGCGCCGGTTATCAAGTACGTCTGATTATTACCAATAGTAGCATGCCTAGTCCAGTAGTTGGCAACCTTGCTTCTAGACCAGGTACATGTATGTGCACTACTGTTTGATTTGCTTACGACTGCTAAGCCCTGTTTCACTGTTTGTTGTGCTTGTTTATTGAGCTAGAGGAATTTTACCTGGTACAATGAGCCTGTAAGTACATTGTACTGTACATAGTGCCTGTCTTCTCTGTCACTACCAGTAGAAGAATACAGCTGGATTTGGATCACATTCCTTATAAGATGTAATGACTATTTTGAACAGTCTAGAAAATTATATATTGTGATTTCACTGTAGTAGAAAAGTAGCACTTACATGTAAGTCAGGAGGAGGCTGCAGTCTATTTCTCAATGTGCAACAATTTGTGTTTGACATACATTCAAGACAGAGGTTCAAGACAGAGGAAGAGGCTGTGAGATATAAGAATAGAAATGTCTGTATTTTGTACATGAGTCACATCTCATATTTATCAAGTCCTTTTCGAAATAATACTCTTTGCAGGCTTTCCTTGTACATGTATTGCTGTGCTGTTCCTCAATGTTCAACAATCTGTGTTTTACCTACTTGTAGGTTCAAGACAGAAGAAGAGGCCGTTGCCATCGCAAACTCCGCCAGTGTTGGTCTGGCTGGTTACTTCTACTCCAACGACATTGGCCAGATCTGGCTATTGTATTGCTGTTCTATTTTGTGATGTTCAATAATTTATGTTTGACACACATGTAGGTTCAAGACAGAAGAAGAGGCCGTTGCCATCGCAAACTCCGCCAGTGTTGGACTGGCTGGTTACTTCTACTCCAACGACATTGGCCAGATCTGGCTATTGTATTGCTGTTCTATTTCATGATGTTCAATAATTTGTGTGTTTTTTTTTAATACTTGTAGGTTCAAGACCGAAGAAGAGGCTGTGGCAATCGCAAATTCCGCCAGCGTTGGTCTGGCCGGTTACTTCTACTCCAACGACATTGGCCAAATCTGGCGCGTGGCTGAGCGTATGGAGGTCGGGATGGTCGGCGTGAACGAGGGTCTCGTGTCCATGGTCGAGGCTCCGTTCGGAGGTGTGAAGGAGTCTGGGATAGGTGTGGAGGGCTCCAAATATGGCATCCACGAGTACTTGAATGTCAAGTACATCTGCTTTGGCGGGATCTAAAAAAAAACGTTTGGTTTCTGTTGTCTAATGTTGCAGACTTAGGGCAACCATGAGTAATTGAAAGTACATTATTTTGTTTTGACGGAATCTAATTTTAAAATGTTATGATTTAAGAAGATTTTTGAAGATTTTACCACATTTTTTTAAGTGAGGAAAGTCATGTAAAGTGCCTATCCCAAAGGCACAGGGTTGGTGACTTAGCAGGGTTCGAACCCGGGACCTTTTGGTTCTGAGCCGAATGCTCTGCCGTTGCGCCACACGACCCACTGTCACAAACTTTTTGGAAGGGTTGACATAACAGGTGACTATCACATTTTCAAGATGTCAAACCTGAAACCAGACATAAGGTATAAAATTATGGTGAAGAAGTCTCAGCCATTGGTTAAGGCTTCTCAAATGTGACAAGACTTAGGGTAACCATGTCATTGACTGAGTACTTGAATGTCTAGTACATTTGTTTTGATGGGATCTCATCATCATCATCAGATCTAAAAAATGTTAATGTGATGAAGAGAACTCAGGCTGTTTTATGTGTGTTGAATGTGGCATTACATGGTGGAATTATGAAGAGAGTTGATGCTATATATGATGCTACATATGATGACTTGTTGTGGGAAGATTGTGCAATTAATGTGCTGAAATCTTGGTGACTACATATCGTAAGTACAATGTAGAAATTGTGTACTATCAGTAAAACATGAAATTGACGCTCTTGCATGTAATTAGAACCTTGATATTAATGCATATAGAATATCGTTCATTATAAGTAAATGAAGGAGCATTTACAGGCTTCCTTGAACAAAACACTTCTAGAAAATCTAGAAGTAATGGCAAAAGTCATTGCATTAGATTTATCATACAAGAACTTAAGAGAGGTATATGATGTACCTAACTTAGTCATTGATGTCTACACAAGTGATCACTGTGAAAAATACCATTTCATTTCACAGGTTAAATACTATTTGAAAAGAAAAGATGTTAAAGTATGGTCAAGAACGTATAATGTACAATGTACCATATTATTATTGTGCCATATTGATAGATTGTAAATAAGCTATGATAATTGATGTACACATTCAACTGATACAGCTTGATTAAAGCAGTTCGCATGCACTGATCTGTTTTAAAATGGAAGACTACAAACACTATGGATAGCTATAGAAAAAGAACAATTGTTTACAAGCATGGTTTCTTTTGCTGGTGATTTATGATCCTACCATATAACGTGTTGGTATATTTAATTCCTATCATCATGGCCTTACAATGTTTTAGGGTAGTCGTTAGTAACATTATATAACTTGAAACTTTATTCGCAAAATCATGCCCGAAGACTAATTGCTTTTACAATCAAGTATAATACTCATTGCAATACAGTAACAGGAGACAGGTAACAACTGTCTGGAAAAAAAAAACTACTTCTACTACTACGGTAGCTATTATGGGGTTCGACTTCTTCTTTGAAGGCAGTGGATAATGAATAGTCCCACATTCTTCATAATTTGTGGGTTTTGTGATCTTAGTAGAAATGCAGTTTTTTGGTGATCTTCTAAATGACGAAATATTATATATACACCATATATTATATATATTATATATATATTATATATACACCACTATATCACATTCATGGTCTAGTTGTTAGATTACAGGACCAAGGGCCAAACCTTATTTCACAAGTAACTAACTCTGGTCTGTAATTACAAGGGATAAAAAGTTCTGTCCTCATTCAATAACCCGTATATGTTTATATTGATATATACATTCCTACGTAGGTTCTAAAGCATTTAGTTTGCCCAGCCTTAGTAATTATATAGCCAAGAGTTTTATATTATCTTGAAAGTTCATCTGTGTTGGTAGAAGTCATTATGACGCATTACAACATCAGGGCACTACAACCATCCCTCAACAGCGACGGGGGGCGCCACAGACTTTCTGCAACTCACGGAGTCACGTGTGTTATCTGCGTGACGTCACGGAAGCGGTGGATTGTTCATTCCTTGACAAAGACTGAAGTTGTACAGTCGAAAATTTGGGTGAGTCCATTTTCTTGTGTTTGACATTACAGTTTCAACTTGCTTCATAAAGAGTTTTATATGCCAGTGGCTACTTAAAAGTTTTTAAACGTCGGCAATGGCTGCTGTCTTGCTTAGCCTCCACCAGGCTTTTCTACGGGATTGCGGATTGTAGAATACGGCAAAAAAAGAGTAAAACTTGCCCAAGGGGTCCGGCCGCGGGGAGGTAGTTCTTTTCCTCCGCGGCCAGTCAAACCTACAAGGCGGCCAAACTCCCATGGCAAATATTCTCCTATATACATGTATAGCCAGCGTAGTTAGTCTGGTAGAGACTAGGTCTTGCTTACGACAACAACATTATCGATTAAGCGATAACATCGATGTAAACGTCTTCCTCTGCGGATGACGCTCTTGCCATTGCTCCATCCAGACCGTCGTCGTTGACTCTCGTGTAGATGTTTTCGTTGACGCTGTCCGGCGTGTAGACGGGGTTGTTAAAGGAGCTTTCGGAGAACCTTCGGTTCCCAGTTGTCTCTCCGGCTGCAACAAGCATTATCATTAGATAGATTTGAACAATGCTTAGAGTTAGATGTTCAAGGGTTAGGTCTAACAAATCGTTCGGTGTAATGTAGCCAGCTGCCATCGCGCCGCGTGCCTGCGAAGCTGGTGTGTTGCGCCGAAGGGCGGTTATACCGGCTATACAGATACAGAAGCTGGTGTTACGCCGAAGGGAGGTTATACCAGCTATTCAGATACAGAAGCTGGTGTGTTACGCCGAAGGACGGTTATACCGGCTATATACAGATACAGAAGCTGGTGTGTTACGCCGAAGGACGGTTATACCGGCTATACAGATACAGAAGCTGGTGTGTTACGCCGAAGGACGGTTATACCGGCTATACAGATACAGAAACAAATACATCACAAGAAATCAGTGATTTTAAACTCCCGGTTATAGTAGAACAAAGCTTGCGTTAATGCATCACACCATAGAATGTATCACTACTAATACGATGATATAAGGAAACTTGTCGTTATTGTTTCATACATTCCTGGTGACCACAACCTTAAACCCAGGCAATACATGTACCTGGTGAAACCCCTGTCAATTAAGGGAGACCATATCACCACCTTCGGAACCTAATCGCTACCTTCGGAACCGAAACATACAGACCTAGCACGAACTAGCGCCACCCAAAACAATACTTCCGTAAAGGGAATAGAAAAGGCTATACAAAAGCCCCCAAAACAATTACCATATAGCGTGTCCAAAAGAAGAGATAGCTGAAAGTTCCGCTGAAGTACCATAGAGAACCATTATTAGCAAGTGGTGGTTACGTCATGTGTTTTCTTGGGAAAATACTAGTAGTGTGGTATTGCAGTGCATCGTCATTTATACTTATATGAAATTATATTTCTAATATGTCGACGTGATGATTATTCGATCCAAACACACAAACTTTCGCGCGGTCAAAAACAATACTTCCGTTTTGGAAGTAACAAACAGGCAAACAGACCTGCCGCAGAGTTGAGGATGCTCGTAGATGTTGGGAAGTCCAGGTACGAGCTGGAGATTCTGTCGCCTACGGGCTCTGCGGCGAACCCTGCGTTTTGGTACCTGTTCTCCCGATCAGGACGCCTCCGCGGATTGTCTCTGATGCTGTGGTAGGGTGGGTCATCAACGGGACCAACTGCACCGTCAGCCGTGCTGGGATTGGCTTCCTGCTATTGAAAAACAGAAATTTAGCTTGTTGGTATCTTGGATTTGCAGATGATTCCTAAGTTATGCTAAGGCCACATTTCCGAACTGGGGCCAGGCCGGGGACTTAATGCTTGAACAAAAATTCAGCAATCAATATCAAGAATATACACTAATAGTGCTTCGTTTTTTTTCAGCATCTCTTCCTGTGACTATTTTAGACATGGTGCTAGAGGCCGTTTTGACTGGTTTTAACGGTGACAGAACATGCTGACCTCCTATATTGGACTGTGAGTTATGGTGACAAAGAATGGCGAGCTCCTATTGGTAGGTCTCCTTTTGAAAATGGCCTCTTGGCTTAGACTCGGAGAACTGTCACAAATCCAATGAGAGAGGCTCCATAGACAACTAAACAGTGTGGTTTTGTATTGCACACAGACTACACTAGGAAAAAGTTTACTGATAATGCAATGAAAAGGAAATACCTGGAGTTGAGGACGCTCAGGAGTGTGGCCGGCATCTTGCTCTGTAGAGAAAGGCCCTCTCTTCTTCAGGACAATGACGATTGCCGCTACTAGGCAGAGGATGACGAGCAGCAAAGGGATGCCAACAGCCAACCCGACTACTGTTGTCCGCGGTAGCTGATAAGTCGACACGATCTTCGTTGAAAATGTCACACAGTGGTCCAGTCCAGGTTTTCTAAGCTCATCCTTGCAAAGAACGGCCACACATGCTTGGTAAGGCGTATTGGGAAGAAGGTCCAATATTGCAAAGTTACGGCCATTGTGGTGAATGTCTTGTGTATCTATCCACGACTGCTGCCCTAAAGATTTGGTACTGAATGACGAATCCTGTCAGGTCCACACTTGCAGCTTTACCGTCGTGAAACCATGTGATTTTCAGCACGAGAGTCCTGTACGTTTTGCACGGTGATGTCCCTTGGGGCGGTGCATGTCCCTGGCTGTGTTGTTGTTGTAAGAGCCGGTGGAAGCTGTGTTGTTGCTGTAGGAGTTGTCACAAGGCGAGGAGATGTCACCAATTCAGTAGTAAGAGATGTTGGACTGTGCAGAAGATGAAGTAGCGAGAGGGTGTATTTAGAGGGAGACAACAAAATTGATAGGGGACATGCATCATCACTCATGACAACTATATATAGTCTAGATTCCTTACATCTATATGCCATCTTTACAAAATATTGGCCTTCCGAGCTTTTATTGGTATCTTATTCTTTCATTGTCAACTATAAGGAAACTTGTAGGCTGAAGTAATCCCTCAATCCTTTATTCTTTCATTGTCAACTATAAGGAAACCTGTAGGCTGAAGTAATCCCTCAATCATGTGACAAACATTGCTCTTTTGATTTGAAGTTTTCTCTTTAGTAACAACAAATTAGAGATTACTCCCCTGTGACTTCGTGGTTTATACTTCATACGTTCCTGGTGACCACATCCTCGAACCCAATATATACCGGGTCAAAATCCTGTCAATCAATTCAGAAACCAAATCTCTGCCAATTCACATCAGTGGAACCCAAACTTACAAACCTAGCATTTATCAACGCCACTCATAACAATACTTCCGTCCCGAAGG